ACATCGACACACATACTCAGAAGGCGCGCGCGCTAACACACACATGAGCGCAAACGCACGCACTCACAAGCAAACTCAAATACTCGACCACGTGTACTTTAAAACATCCTTAGTTACATAAATATAACTGGAGGAAAGCAGTCGAACGGAAATTACACAATATAAAATAAAAGAACATGTTGAAGTAAAATATATGCGGATATGGTAACAATGGAGGAATTTAATAAATTATTAAAAATATAAAAATACATTAAATTAACTGGTATAGATAGAAAATAATAAATTATTAAAGTATGGAGAAAAACTTTTCAGACTACGGTTTTTATATTTGTTTAATTTGTGTAGGAAACAAAAAGCTGGTCAGTTTGTATTTTAAAACCAACTTTCAGGTAAGAAGACTTAAGAGCTGTGACAGTTACAGAGGAATCAGTCGCTTAAATACAGGATACAATATCTATTCAAGGTCGTTAGTTAGATTGAAGAACATGTTAAAATCCGTCTGACGTATAAAACAGAGTAAATTTTGTCATCATCATTCAAGACACATGACGTTTTAACATTTAGAAGGAATTTGAGGTTTTCACGGCGGTAAATCCGAAGATGGCTGTTTTCTGGGTTGTAGCGCTGTGTAGTCTGGCAGAGGTCTACCAGTGTTTTAGAGGTTCTTGCTGCCTCTTTATCAGGCGATAGAGGCAGGAAGGACCTCTGAAACGTTGGTAATTTTACCATACCTAACGGCGCTACAACTCAGAAGACAGTCATTATCAAAACATGAAACTGTTAAAAGAAGAGTCCAGCAGAGAGACGCATACATTCTTTATATACTATTACAAAGCGTTTGTAATGTAAGCTTAAAACACTTCGAGCAATAACCTGCCTATCACAAGAAAGAAATCCCACAGCTTTTAATTCAGGTTATTCTTAGTAATTAAAATGATTAAAAAATATATTGGATCTATAAAATAACTTAAGTGGCGATTTTTTAAGGATTACGACAATAGTGTAGCCTTTCACCTGACCTTTTATTGTTTAGATTAATTTTTCAAAAATGGAACAGAGAGGCATTTATTGAAATGTATTATAGGATTTGGGAAGTCTGTAAAATAATGTATTCAGATGACCAGGTGGCGTTAGAAAAATTTAGACAATGAATCGCTCACAAAGGTATCAATTAAATAAAATAGCGCACATAAATCTCGAAACATGTAATAAAACCAAGGTAATGGCGTTCACGGGAAATACTGCAATCAGATGAGAAGCTATACGTAAAATGGAAACTCAACTAAAATCATATAGGGTCCCGGCAGTTTGGTATTGTTTTGTGGTTCAGAAATAAACGTTATGAGATATATCATCAGCTGAAATTAAATTCCTCCTGTCAGCGAAACAGTGCATAAGACAAGACCGAATGCAAAGTCAGAAAATAAGACAACACATTGTAAGCATACTCAGTCCGTGAGAAAGTAAACACGTATACATAGAACTGGATGCATTTGGATTGAATGGGCCGGGAACAATTACCAAAACATATTAAACTAGGAGAGAAAAAGATAGGCACACCAGAGCAAAGACAGGGCTGAAGTTGGTGGGCTTAAACCCTTGCGGACGTTTATGATTAAGATTACAATCACCACGACGACAGAAGCTGTAAGTCTCAGTATTCGTATTTTGTTTTAAGTACCAATTACTGTACGATGAACCACTTCATTACAAAACTTTTGCCAATTTGTAAATCGATCATTCGATGCGGAACGTGAAATGATATTTTAAATATTTTATATTTTATTATCTTATTAAAATTGTGATTTGACGGAAAATATTAAAATATTAAAACTTTTGAAGTTATATTTATGCCATGCAAATAATTAGTTACATTTCGCCGATACGGCCCAGCCAATTTCAAATTTTACTGAAATCAGTCCAACTATTTAGGAGGTGTGACATACGGCGAGACAAACTTAACCACTCCATTGTGTATTTATTTTAATCATTTCTTCAAAATAATGGATTAAAACCGTACATCAAGCGGTTTCTTTCTAGCATTTATTGGGCACTGTCATTAGGAAAGGCTACTTCGTTTGGTAGGTTTAAGTATTTTGTTTGGGACAAAACGAAGCCTGAATTTGTGAGTAATGAAGCCGTCAATTAAGTGTTCGTTGATTCCTCCTAGTCTTTGAGAGCTGTATTCACATGTGTACTGCGAAACCGAACAAATAATTTCCTGGACTCTAGAAACAGATTTGCCGCAGGACTATAATGACATGGTATTCTTTTTGCAAAATTTTGGCCACCATCATTTGTACTCTGTGCTGAAGTTGTCGCCACACATAGTTACACAGGTACTGAACATTTCTGTTTTGATTGATTACTTATACAGTTGAAATACTTTTCTCTGGTATACACAAAATATTTTGCTTAGTACTTTCTTAATAAGTAAAAGGCACACAAAACAGTCCCCTAGCAGGGAAATACTGAAAGATTTTGGTGATTCTCGCATTGGCAACAAACGTTACTAGAAAACTGATTATATTATGATTTCTGTTATGGCTTCCAAAAAAAATAAAGTATATTCAGTTCCTTGAGAGTTTCAAATCGGTTGTTAATGATGTAATCGAAACTTGCACTGGCATGTGTGGGGTAGATTTTCCATGAACTCCAACAAATACCCATCTCCGTGTGTCTACAATGCACCGGAAGTTAAGAAAGGAATTAGGCGCTTTCTACTTAACATTTGTAGCTCATGACCGTACCACCGGAATACAGCTGTAGTTATGGCGAATTCACGTCAGTGACGTATAAATTTCTATAGCAATCTGCAAACACTGACGAACTGTAAAAAGCCTAGACTTGAATGTAATAGTCTGTTTTCATACAAGTTAACAGAGCTACACTTAAAGAATGATGTTCCACAAATTGTCATTTTGGAAAATTACTTGCATATGCCCATTCATTTCCAGGCATTAATTTCCAAAGATTTCTCCAATTTACGTAATGTTTTCACTCAAACGCAGCAAATGTGGATTTAGCATGTAAGCTAGTAAAGGTTGTAGGCAAGCGCTGTTAAGGAAGCCTATAATATTTAAAATTCGACTCCTTTATAGCACTTACACGAGAATGATCCAATATTTGTGCATGGAACTGGTTCTAACGGAAGTGCGTCTCGAGGTGACAACCCTAACGCCATTTCTCAGATATTGCTCATTCAGGCGTAACACCAAACCAAGGACTTTTATTTGTCCGGCCTCCTTTTAGAACTTGAATGAAAATAAGAATATTTTTAAATTTTCAATTCTGGGGAATTTTCATAACTGCTCCGTGGTATTTCCAATCTAAATTATTATTACGTTGAAGATTTCTGGCTTCTGGGTTGTTGCGCTGTGTAGTCTGGTCGATGTTAACCAATGTTTCAGAGGTCATACTGCCTCCGTCATCAGGACGATGAATAAGCCATGCCCTGATGATTGAGGCAGCATGGACATCTGAAACGTTGATGGACACCTACCAGACAGTACGGCGCAACATTGCCCTGATGACGGAGACAGTATGACCTCAGAAACGTTGGTAAATATCTACCATACTATACGGCGTAACAGCCCAGAAGACAGAAATCTTCATACTCACCGCTTTGAAAACCTCAAATCTTACATATTATTACGTTATTTAATTCACAGGTTTATAGTTACATGAGTGGTTGGTTAAATTTCTTTAAACACACGTCTTTATTATTCATAATTATGCGTTCATGTTAAGTAGGAAAGTAGTAATAAATTATTACGTATTTTATTTTATACAGAGGTATTAGAGGAAATTTTATAAATCAACATACTAGCTTTATTTTCAGAAGAAGTATTAATATCGTATACCGATGTTGTATCTGCTTCATGATCAATTTAAAAGTAGCGAATTGCTACTTTGTTTGCTGCCCGTTAGTGTGTTACTTTTTCAAAATGCATTACTTCTCCATCCATTAATTCAATTATTAAACATTTATTGTGCTTATTTATTAGTCTGTAATTAAAAAAATAATCAATATCTTACGCGTATTATAGATAATATTAGTTCTTGTGCTTCCAAGTAAATTTCTGACTTTTAAGATGTTTATTTAGATACAATGTAAATAGCCGTCAGATTACACAGCGTCGAATGATAGGATGATTGATGAATAATTGTAAAATACATGGAACAAAGCAGACGTGATCCAAATTAACGTATTGTGCCGGAATTTTAATGGAAGAACTATGAAACACCACGAAAACGTTAAAGATAGTCGCTCTCCGGGCCGGCATTTGAAACCAGAGCCTCCCGAATACGAAGCGGTGCTGTTAACCACTCACACGAGACGTTCGGTGAGCTTTAATATGAATCTTCGGGTTCATCATTACTCTGCGTCAATTGTCAGCCAAAGTTAGTCTTTGGCAACTTGACAGAAATTTATGCTTATTGCTAGTAGTGGCTTGAATTATGTTGTGGCCCGGGAAATACTTAATTTATTTCGTAATTCAATATTGTGTCGAAATTCAAAACGATTATGCGATTTATTCTGCAATATATTAGTACTATTGTTACATTGGTATCTAACATTAACTGTTAAAGTATATTCGTCGTCATCAGGCAATGCTGACAACTTTCCCTGTGAACGTCGTTCAACAGTGTTTGTAGTACCAAAATAAAACTTCAAGAAACCAAGTATATTATGAACCGAATTTTCACACGTGGAATCAGTGTAAGCGAAATAAGTCTTGAGGTTGTGTATAATGAAGACCTACCGATCCGTAAATCTAGTCAACAAAAAGAATAAAAAACTACCCACATTCTAACATTAAATCTTCAAAGGAACTCTTTTCTCATTTTCACATGAATGACAACAAGAGGACACGCTTGGACATGAGGAATTAACGCTACATGGAGGCTATTGAGGAACAACTAAATGAGAACATACATTAATTGCCAGCAAAACATCAATCTGACTACGATAATTCACCGTGTGTTGGCTCGCTTACCTGTAGCGTCCGTGAACCTGGGCGACCGTTCCCCGCGTGCGGTTTCCAGGGTCTCAAGCTCCCCGCCTAGTTCCAAGCATTCCCAGTAGAGTTAGCGCCGGTTTCGTAACAGAGCTGCGCGTGGAGCTGGTCTCAGGACAGACGTTCATACGATCGAATCGAACTAAGCGATGTGAAGAAATGATATAAAAACTTCAGTTAGTATAGCACACCGTAGTAGCGCAGAGAAATGGGATTAGGAGATGCCACCAATGGAACGAATTATTTTCTTCACGTGCGAAGAGGAGGAGTTACCATACAAAGAAAGAAACCGCGTGGAATCTGGCATTTAGCATGCAACAAATGTCAAATAAATTAAGGTTAAGTCTGTGCAGTTTTCACTGCCTTGGCTATTACGAACGTAGAATGGCTCTTGGGCCATTGATGGAACTTGAATTTTCTACATGATGAGGTGGCGACGAAGGGGGAAGACGTAGTGTTAATATGAAATTAAGGTACTTCTGCGATGAACCAGTAACTTTTCACAATGAGGAAGCTAGGTGAATTAATTACGTTTTTATCGTAAAGTCTAAAACTGTTTTCACTCTTACACTGACGAACTTCTTCAAGCCACAGTTTCGTATGTGTGGGCAACAAAAATCAAGCGTTTGAAGTACCAAACCGGAAGTGACATAAGAGTAGAGCTGGTGTTAATTTCAGTCGATCCTAATCGATTTGTATTTGCCCTATATTCCATTGTTTACATTTACGAACGCCAGATGTCAATATGCAAAGACACTAGTTTGTCTGCCTAATTTCAAGAACGTGAATTAATGTCAATGACTTTTCCCAGCCTTGTACAAGGTTAATAGTATACTTTGGCCTGCCAGCTACACCCTTTGGTTGCTTAGCTGGCGGCACAGAAAACGGACATTGATGCGAAGACGAGACGGAGACTATAATTCGCATATGTTCTTAATTTTTAATATATATTTTGTATTCACACAAATACTCATTCAAAACGTGCAGTTGTATATTATTTAACGAAATGCTCAAACATTTCCGTGTTGAAATCATACGAAGACAAACAGGAAATGATACTAAAATATGTAGACTGTGATACTCAGGAGAGAATATGTAATTGCTGTTTATCAATTTTTAATTTGTTTGTAGGAAAGCAATAGTCCACTCCAACTGTTCCCGCTTTTTTAAAAACATTTTCCTATATTTTCTATAAGAAAATCTACAATGCTCTTTTATTTTTTAAAAAGGGGTTGTACAAAGTCGTAACTCCAAAGTTATTGCAGATATAATTACATACTTTGTACCAATAGATTCCTTGAGATAAATTACTACTGGGAACAATGGAAATTATTTACATATATTTAAAGAAATGGCTTACCATGTCCTATAAACTGCCTAATTTCACCTAGGGATTTAGCTACAATAAAAATTGAAACTTTGGGATAAATTTTACTTCATTGATATCTAATCATAAAATAAAAACCATGAAAAATATGATGGTGTAGTTAACACTATATTACATTTTGTTTGATTTGGTATTTATATTAATAGGAGCGTTGTCAAGAGTTAGTGGGATACCAAAACTTTATTCTAAATATGATGGACTTGTACATGTGCATTTGAGTATATTTTAATACAGTAATCATATCTGTTATACCAAATTTCAGACAAACCTATTCTTAGGTTTATGAAATGTGATGTTAGTTCCCTTCAAAACAGGTTCCTTTAGAGCATCTTTCATATTTCTGCCAGTGCTGGAAGTAAGTTTCCTCCAAACTCTAATATAAAGTAGGCAGTAATAGGGTTTTTATACGGTGTTCAATTGTTTTTGCATAAATTATAGATTTAAATATAATAATTTATTCACCGTCTGTACACAAACTTAAAATGTTGTTAAAATTACTTAAGAATACATAAAATTACAACATTTTTTATAATTATATCTTGATACATTTCACATTTGACGACATGTTTCGGTGTATTTCACCATCATCAGGTCAATCAATTTAAAACTGTTTTAAAAAACTGTTGTACATCCTGCTCCGCGTATATTGATATGTTTGACTGTTTTGATTTCCTTCCTTTTAATGCTTGGATGTTTATATCGGGTTGTGAGTGATGCGTTGTACGTCCGATATTATGGGGCAGTAGCTTGCAACTCTGGATGTTTATATCGGGTTGTGAGTGATGCGTTGTACGTCCGATATTATGGGGCAGTAGCTTGCAACTCTGGATGTTTATATCGGGTTGTGAGTGATGCGTTGTACGTCCGATATTATGGGGCAGTAGCTTGCAACTCTGGATGTTTATATCGGGTTGTGAGTGATGCGTTGTACGTCCGATATTATGGGGCAGTAGCTTGCAAAAAAAAAATAGATTTAAATGTTAGGAAAAATAAAAATGTCACAGGAAGACATACTCGGTGAGTAAGGAGACTATCTCACTTGTGGTACACCGTGTTTAGCATAAACTGCTCCACAGATGTAGTCACAGTGAATTTCTCAACTCATCTGATTCAGACATTTGTGGCTATTTATAATGTCACAGATAAGTCTCAGCACTAGTCAGAAGCAATAGTAGTTTAACAGCCTGACTTTGCACAGCATATTTATGGTGTACAACACCATCAAAATGAAATATATAATCAGTTTACTTTTATCTCTGCTGCATGATTGGCATGTTTCTATAATCAGGAAGGAGACTGCTGCTTAGTTTCAAGATCATAACCATAGGTACAGATTCAAAAGCTTTCTTTGGTTTCTAAATGATCTAGTCAAAAACCACAAACAAGTAGTTTTCTCTCTGCTCCTGTGTGAGAAAACTTAGTTGAGACATGCCAAATTCCCAGACAGTTTGTTAAAATGACCTGACAATAGCAATAAGATTATTTTACCTATTTCTTCCACCATTTCACAGACATAAACTGAGCTACATTATTATTCGATGAAGGCTCTCAAAAATGCTTCTCACTTCTGATAGACTTTTACTCGTCTCTAAATGACTGAGTAACTCAAAAACTCACATTTAGCTCATTGTTGAATGTACATAATCCGTTTCATAAATTAATTTAATTCACACACATTGCTATAAACTGCTGGACATTGTTAACCTGACACACAACAAAAACACTCAAACTTCAACTATGGACAAATGAGTAAAGTAATGCAATGAACTGTAAACATGCCTGGATGTATAGTAACACTTCAGGACATATGCTTCAAAACCATGTTTTGTGCAGTGTAGAGTAGAGTTTATTTACATTCCATAGATCCTTCTTAGGACTTAAGCAAAGTCATTTCATATAATGTACACAAACTTCAGAACTTTCAACACACGTACAAGAACGTATTTCACATATCAATGTATATAAACTTCAGATTCTGGAATACAAGTATGAAAAATAATTTTACAAATTAATATACATAAACCTCAGAATTTTAAATAGAAATACAAAACAAAACATAAAGCCTAAAAATTTTCAGCAGAGATAAAATCATCTACAGAATAGAAAGAGTGAGTAAAGAGGTAATCTTTAAATGCAGGCTTGAATACCTTTATATCATAATTTAGACTTTTAATTGTTGGTGGAAGATTATTAAATAACTTGATACCTGCATAGTACACTCTTTTTTGATATTTAGTAAGGTTAGCATTTGGCACATAGAGATTATGTTTACGTCTTGTATTTAAATTATGTACATCTGTATTTCTTTTAAAATTATCCATGTTTTCCACCACAAATGATAGCAAGCAGAGTATAAATTCACTTGCAAGTGGAAGTATATTAAATTTATGAAATAATTTTCTACAAGATACCCTGCTTTT